GTTTTCTACCACAAATTCTTCAGGTTCAGCCTCTTCGACTTTTTTACTCTTTCCATTCTGCTTCTTTCCCATTTTTTGCAATGTAGTTTTATTGGAGGCCATTTTTTATTGCAGACTTGAAGAGCTATTACCTTCGGGGTTTGGCGCCCGTCGGTTCCTGGAGGGGAGGGAGAGAGAAGAGGAGGGACGGGCCGGTGGCCGGAGTCTTCGTGGCGCAGGCTTTTCTGCTTTGCAGCGGCGGCAAGTGGCGCCAAAACCCAGACTCCACCCACTTCCTCGCCCCCGGGAGTGGGTGCTTCCTACCACTGGGAGGAGGTGGAGACAGACTTGGGGGTGAAGGGAGAATTGGGAGCTGAGCAGTGTGCCCCTCCTGGAAGACCGCTCTCCTGAGCACGAGGCGCTGGCCCGAAGGACGTAATCTGGGTTATGGCCATGACTTTTGTTTGACTGTTTCTTTGGTCATTTGAGCCCTAACTAGATTATATAAAAATATTTGGAAACACATAAATTTGAGTATGTTAATCTATTGCATAACTGATTCCACTGGTAGAGACTCACGTTTCTGCTCAAATAGAGGGGGGAAAGCGTAATGACTTTCTACTGAAACAAGTCACAACTTTCGGGTGACCAACAGAAACAGCCTCTGTCAGCTCACTGCCTTCCGTGGGTCCGCAGGAAGGGGCGGTTTTTGTTTCGCATCTGGACAGCTGAGTCCAAGTGATTACTAATCCAGCCAGGCATAGCATGGTGGGAGTGCAGCATGATTGGTTAGTTGTGCACTTTCTCCTTTTCGGTGTGATTTTGGATCGGAGGGGAAAAATGTCAAATGACTGAAAGTCTTGTTTGCTGCCAAGAAGCTGTCCGGCCTGTCCAGGCATCATGTGGAAAGGGAAGGGGAGAAGGCTCTTTCCTTCTGCTGATACCCCTTCTCGGTTTTAGGATTCGCAGAACAGAATATCTCCGAAACTGCAGAGTTGTTGTTCTCTGGGGTTTTTTTTAACCCCAGTTCTAACGAGGTTATGGTGGAAGCTTGGTTAGATAACTCAGTCCCAGAGCAAATCTCAATGAAGTTGTACCAATGTGGACACTTACGTGTGTCACTTACTCAAGTAAGCATTTGTCAGCAAGTCCTTCAAGCCAAGTGCTGTGTGTTAGGCATAAGGCATGCAAATGAAATCCCCTTCTCCACAAGGAGCCCAGGGTCCCTGATGAGAGCCTAATGGCTCAGGGAAGCCTTCCCAGGGCTGGCGACGACGCTGGCCTTCAGTCTTCAACAAGAGCAAGAGGAGAAAAAAGGGGGACAAGGCAGGACGAGACATTTGAGGTGGCCTGGTGGAGCTACCAAGTAATACCCTACACTGTGTTGTAGCGCACATCATATACAAAGGGGAAGTGGCTCCAAAGTTCATGGAAAAATGGAGTGAAGAGATAATGGCATTTTTCCAAGAACTTTTGGAAGCACCCTCAATTATCTATAAGCTATATGTTAAATGGTGCAGGAGTTATGTATAAAGTGATATATAATGATGGCATATACAGGTGTATATTATGTACAAATAAAAAGTAAAGATCTTATTTACATAATAGTATATGTAATATATATTATACATTATGTGTATATGTACACCACAAAGCAAAGCAAACCCCCGGCCACCGAGTCCATTGTGACTCTTAGCAACCCGCTAGTGGGCTTCCGTAACTGTAACCTTGACAGGATCTCTGGAGCATGGCTGGTGGATTTGAACTGCCAACCTTGGAGTTAGCAGCCCAGCACCTAACCCACAGAGCCGCCCAGAGTCCCTGCATGCACCTAGTGATCAAGAAGTAGTGTCGTATATACTACTGTGTGCAGAGGCCTGGGTAGGACGAATTGTTCATTAGTGACAGCTGGGAAGAAGAGCCCGACAAATCAGCCGCTGGAAACACGGTGGAGAACAGCTCCGCGCTGACACGGATGGGGTCGTAGGAGTTGGAATCGACAAGAACTGGTCTTCATACTTACACCCATCCCTCACATGTGAGACACTAGGTTTGATCAAAGCAATGAAAACCCACTTCGGAGGATTTGGCATAGGTTTCGGTGCAGAGAATACCGAAGCCGGTGAGTTTTGCATGTTGTTATTAAAGATTATCGGGGACAGGGATCAAGCGTTGGCAGCTGTCCCGCACGCTGAGACAGGGCTTATTTGGGACAAGCTAGGTTGTTCCTTGCTCCTTGCTGTGGAGTCCGCAGAACTGCGCCATAGGGCTTTCAAGGTCCTGACCTTGCAGAGGCAGATCACCAGGCCAGGCTTCTGAGGTCCTTTTGGGGGGCTCTGAACCACCGACCTTTTGACTTAAGGCAGACTAGAGAGACGAGGTCGAGTGTGGGGAGTCATTCTCAGGAGCGCACCTGGCTGCATGCCTGGTTTCTCATCAGGACTACGTGGGCTCGATCCCCTGATCGCAGGGTTGCTGGTTTTAAGGTTCAGAAATAGAGCCTTTCACCTGCACCTCGCGAATGTGCAACATACAGCAGTTGAAACGACCATGGGCATTTCATGTGTGTGTTTGTCTTTAAACAGTAAGCTTCAAAGAGTCTGAAATAAGATCACAAATGCCTGCTTGTCTCATAATGCATTCATGGGTCGAGGTGCAGAGAGCAGGGTCTTTGTCTCGTTGGGCATGTGACTGAGGCACAGCTCAGTCTCAGAGGACAGCTGGGCTTGAAGGGCCTTTATCCGCAGCTGCCCCATCCTGCCCTGACTGGTGGT